GGAGAATGTGCAAGAGCTGTGGTTTTGGTACAGCAGAAAAAGGCAGCAGAAAAAGTGAGATAAGGAGGGAAGGGGCTGTAAACAAAAGATTCATTCACTATCATTCACAACACATTTGAGATAGAGAGATTGAGAGCAAAGAGTGAGAGAGAAAACCAGAAAAATAGAAAGGAAGAAAAAACAGAAAAAAGAGAGTGACGTAGAAACACAAGAGCATCCTTGAAGAGCATAACCTTCACAACATAGAGTGAAGAGTGAAGCACATCCAACCAAAACCAGTGGAGGACATGCAAGAAGGATAGAAAGCTCTTGGGTATCCATTTATTCAAACCTTTCTCTCTTTGTATTTTGCTTTTGTATTCATTTGTTTCCTCTTTTGAGTATTGTTGTGTTGTGTATATCATGTAAGGTTCCAAAGGGACCAAGAAACCATTTTTAAGAACCACAAAAAGAAGGAGAAACGAGAGAAAAGTTTGGTTTTTCCCACCTGGTAGCGTGACACGGGCCGTGTCGTGCGACACGGGCGGCCGTGTCACATCTCTGTTTGAGATTTCATGCCCATGACCCCTGACACGGGCCGTGTCACACAACACGGCCACCCGTGTTGCACCTCTGTTTGAGATTTCATGCCCAGGACCCCTGACACGGGCTGTGTCACACAACACGGCCACCCGTGTTGCACCTCTGTTTGAGTTTTCAACGTGTAAAATGCCCAGGACCCCTGACACGGGTCGTGTCACACAACACGGCCACCCGTGTCACACCTCTGTTTGGCCTTAAAAACTTGTTTTGTCCCAGACCTTATGACACGGACCGTGTCACACAACACGGCCACCCGTATCACACCTCTGTCACGCTCCAAAAACCTACATTGCAGGTACCCTATGACACGGGCCGTGTCACACAACACGGCCACCCGTGTTACACCACTGTTTTACCACTTTTTTGACATTTTACCTCCAACGTTTTTTTTTTGCATGTCTCGATTTTTTTTAGCCGACTAACCCCATATGTTTGTATGTTTTAGTATGTGAATGTTATTGTGGTTCTTGTTGACCTTTGATTCCCAAAACCATTTTCAAAAACAAACTCTCGATTTTATCGAGCCATTTTCACCCCTGTAAGACAATTGCCTTGCGCATCGCCACCGACCTTGTCCGTATCACTTCAAATTCATTTTCTCAAACAATAAACCTTGATCCAACATCAAGTGATCCTTTTTTCTCATGAAAAATCCAAAACACAATAAATATATGGTTAGGGTTGTACACCATGGATTTTAAGGTGGTAGAGAAGGAATGAGAATGGAATCCTCCTACACTCGTTCCAAATGTTTTGGATACAAGGCACTCGACTTGGCTATTCGAAACATTCGTCTCTATCTAAAGTCCTTTTGTGTAATCCTAATCAAGAACCATTTTTTTATTCGAAAACCTAAAAATAACATCAACTCATCAAACCTATTTTCGCCTTAGGGCATCAAGCCAAAACCCCTTTTTCAAGGTATAAAATCAACCAACAAACAACAATTTCACAAGCCTCCGAACTACAGAGCTCTGATTCTTCACTTCTTTTAAGTGAGGATACGTAGGCACAAGGGCCACAATCCTTGGCGAGCACTATAATAAAAATCCAACCCCTCTTTCCTAAAACAAGCAAACTCTTAAATAAAAACACCCACTCAAGCAAAACAACCTAGGAGGTTCCCATCGAGTACGATGGACGCGAGGGGGTGCTAATACCTTCCCCTCGCATAACCGACTCCCGAACCCTAAGACTTGGTTGCAACGACCACGCTCTTTACCTAAAGGTTTTATCGCTATTTCCCTTTCCCTCTTTGGGATAAATAAAATCCGGTGGCGACTCTGTGTCATTTTTCGCGTAGAGACACCGGTCTTCGCGTCTTCTTTCCCCGCTTCATCGAGGAAGAGCGGTTTCCTCATGCCTGGCGCCTCTGAAGCCCTCCTGGTTCCGCGTCTCCCGGGAGGTGTTTGCGGCCTCTATCTCCTCATACTCGATGTATGATTGGGCTTTATGGAGAAGGACATTCAAGGTGCGGGGACGTTCAATCCCAACGGCCTTGGCGAAGTCGGAGTGAGGTCTTATGCCTCTCCGGATCAGGAATTTCTTCATGTCGTCCGTGGTGGACACCTGGACGGCCTCTCGGTTGAACCTCTCTATGTAGTCCCAGAGAGGTTCGTTCTTCCCCTAGATAATGGCTTCTAGGGCTTCCTCTGTCTTTGGATAACGTCGGGAGGCCGTGAAGTGTCTAGAGAACGGCCTATTCAGTTTGTCTCAGAAGGTGATGGATTCGGGCGCGAGGCGTTTGTATCACACCATGGCACCCTTCCTCAGAATAGTGGGGAACAACCTGCACTTGATGGCTCCTCAGGCGTTCCAATAATCGAGCATCGCGTTGATGCTTTCAATGTGGTCGTTCAGGTCGGTCGTGCCATCGTATGTTGCCAAAGACGGGGGTTTCTCCATGCCGACGAGTAATGGGGCCTCCCTGATGGCTCTACATAGTGGAGAGCGTTGGACGTCTTCGTCACTCCTGACGGACGATAGTGAGAGGGAGGCTGATACCTGGTTGTTTTTGTTCTGTCGGGGAGGACTCTTGATCTAGAGGCACCCCCTTCAGCTTTGTTCTTCTTCTGAACTGGGGAGCGACACTCCTTTTGGGGAGGTGACCTGTCCCACTTCTGGGGAGCGGCGCTCATTCCTGGGAGGTGACCTGTCCCGCTTCTGGGAAGCCAACTGTTGTGGTCGCTCCAAACGAGGGTGACGCTCAATCGATCGGGGAGAGGGACTCTGAGAATTATCGGTGTGTCGTGTCCTCCGCGGGGGAGGAGAGAGGATGTTGGAAACTGGACGACGATGTCTTTGCGGGGGAGAGCGTGATGATCGTTCCCTCTCAAGCATCCTTATTCGTTTGTTCTACCCTAAGATCATTAGGCTAGTCTGATTTATCGTCGAGAACAGAGCTACCATGGTAGGGTCAGCGCCAGCTGACACTGGGATGGTCTGGTAGACAGTCGGGCTATCGAAGCGCAGGGCGGCGTTAAGGGCCGCATGTTCCGAGGAGGAGAGGCGGTGCGCCAGTCCTTGTAGTCGCCTTCTTGGTTGCGGAAGGTCGCGTTGGGGTCCTGGTCGTCCCCGTTGGAGAAGGGGACAAATGCGGTTTCTGGAGCATTGTCATCGCGTAGGCTAACCATGACCAGAATGGAAGTTAAAGGTTGCTTTGGTTCTTGAACTGCTATGCTTAAATAGGAGAAAGAATAAGGAAGCAAAGGGTTCCCATAGACGACGCCACTAGTCTCACCTGATCAGAAAGAAATCAGTAGTCTGCCACGCGTCGTGAGTTGCTGCCTTCACCGGTGTTGTAGAGGAGAATGGGGTGTACCTGCAAGGTGCTCCGATGCTTAAGTGAATAATGGAGTTAGAAAGAGAAAGCAAGTACATTGTAAATGTGTAGTGAACGAGATACTTGACCCTCTAGTGAAAGAGGATATTTATAATGTGTCCCCAACGCAGGGCCAATAGTTACATTGCATTGGGTTGGATTGTCAAGCCCAACACAAGAAACTATTAGGACTTACATAGCGTAGTGAAGACCAACACGTGGTCTTCGCCCTGGATCAACTGCCCCATGATCTTTGGAAGGTGGCCTAACCATCTCTTTCGACAGTGGGTAGTTTCCTAATGACGTGTCCCCGCGTGGGGGGCACGTGGAGTCCGTAGGGAAAGCGTGTGAGCTCTCCCCGTGCAAGATAATGCTTTGGCCGACTAGTGTGCCTTGTTGAGGCTTGTGCCAGACAGAAAGAACTGGGTCTTGTTGGTCTTCATTAGCATAGTATTGAGTTGGGCCTGCCCGGCTGAGGAGCAGGTTTCGGCCCAATCCAAAACAAGTTTAACTATAGATTTATCCCAAATTTTAATCTTATATTATCCTTTCGTGTTAGTTATGACAATTGCATTTAAAGTCATTTTATTAAAGACATTATGATATTTACTAAAATAATGTATAATAAAGATTTCAAGTGGTATAACAATTCGGTAATGAAAATGTATCAATTTTGATAATTTTTTGCTAAACTATTTCATTAAATTTGTAATAAAATTCATAAACACTTATATAAAATCATAAATTTTTTAGACAAGTCTAAATTTCAATCAAGCATTTCTTTAAATTTATATGGAAAATAGTTAAGTGGACAAATCTAAACTTCATATTTATATAAACTAATTTTTCTTTTAAAAAAATATTAAGATAAAATAAAAGTTATCAGACTAATCTAAACTTCAATCCATTGAAATTATTTTCCCCAAAATAAAATACATTTTCTTCCCTCAATTATACCCCATAAATTTTTAAATTATAAATTGTTAATTAGATTAAAATAACTAACTTGACATATTTTTTTTTGGACACATTTTAGGAGTTAAAAGAATCGATTAACAAAAATAAATTAAGAGACCAATCTAGAGTTAGTCTTTAAGAGTTAAAAGACTAATCAAACAAAAATAAATATATGGAGAATTGAGTCAAAGTAATGTTCCCTCTAGCTTAAGATTTTTACACATAGATTAAATAACACAATAATATTATCGTAAGATAGCGCCGTTTTATTAAATTAATCTTATTAATATTTTAAAAATAAGATACCTAATAATAATTATATGACACAATTGAAAAAATAACAATTATAACTATATTAAAAAGTGAGAATGACATTCATTTTGAAATAAATTTTTTTATAAAGCGATAGAGATTTTGAACATGCAGGAGTAGTTTTTAAAGAATAGTTTTTCTAGAAAAACAAAGGTAAAATAAATACTCAAGTCAAAGCCCAAAAGCATGATTGTACCAATCAATTATCTTTAGAAGACACGAGAGATTGTATTTGTTTTTCTAAGAAACTAATAAGACCAAGAAGAAGAAAAAAAGCATAATTCTAATAATCAAACAATATTTTAAATAAATGTGGAACTCTTGAATCTCAGGCTTTTATGCAACAGTTGAAGTAGCTCAAGAAGCTCCTCCTTGTCTGTAAAGAAGAGAAAAAAATTATTTTAGGCACCCTATATATCCAATAGAAAGAATAAGTTATCTGTCATATATGTATCAGAACTAAATTCCAATAAAAATTTTAAAATACTATAATCACATCATCGTGATTTATGAAATAAAGTAATCACCCCAATATTCCAATGCATGTGCAGCAACTAAAATTGTAGGTTGTTGCATATGATAATATTTACATCCTTCAACCTAACCACCGCCCTTTATTAAAAAAGAGAGGGTGAATGCAATATAATACAGAGTATATATGCTTTTACTTTTCTTGAAAATGTCTTTTAGGGATATTCTTTAGAAAGAAAAACACAAGTTTCCAATTCCAGCTATGGCCAAAGAGACATACGACAGTTGACAACTATAATTTATTGACAAAAGCAAATGACAACTACCTGAACAAATCATGTTATTCTCACTACTTTCTCTTCAAACCATGTTCTAAAGAATATCCCAAAAAGATATTATTATACTAGAAGTATCATATATGGTGGTGGAACGGTTGCATGACATTATGTGCCTTACTTGAAGAAAATAATCCCAATTCCCAATCCCCAATTACTAGACCGGAAAAGAAGTTAGTAGCGACAAAGGCATTGGTTTTCTTTCCTGAATGCAAAAATCAAAGTATAAAAGGAATGAAAAAATGACATTGAAAGAACCACAAATAAATAACAGTCAAACAAGTCATTCTCAAGGACTAATGTCTATCCCCAAGGTGGTACATATTTGACATTAACAATTCTCAAGCATTATAGTGAGATTTTTGCATTTTCAAGGTTTTGATTCATTGGCCAAAACAGTTACATATGAATACAGACAAAACTCATGAATGACTTCAACTTTTCTTATGAAAGAGTATGAAGAATTCTCACAGTGGAACTCACACCATAACAGATTCATGTTATCATGACTTACTTTCCCATAAAAAAATCGAATTGAGAAGTCATTCACCAACAGCAGCTAATAAACATAAACAATTTGACAACCCATCTTACTAAGCAAGCTATACAGATGTTATAGCAGAATGATAATAATACCAATATCACCATTGATTGATTTTAACTAACAAAGTAATAAAAAAACAAAGATGAGTAAAAATCTTACAGCTGAAGAGTTAGTTTTGTGATAGTGAGGATGTTGAATCTCACTGTCATCAGTTTTTGTATCTTTCTGAACAGAAGTTGTAAACTCCTCCTCATTCCCAAGACTTGCTCTAGAGGCATTAGTCTTGTTCTGTTTACGCATTTCTCGGATTTTAGAAAAATCCATGGAGTAATCAGGCAATGGACCCTTCTGATCCCATTCTCCAAACTGTGGTACTGATAGCCAAGGGGGGTTTTTCTGCATTCAATTTCAAATCATAGGTTACAAACCATCATAACAAAACTTACTACTAGTATTTCACACTCAGAAATCAAATCAAAATATGTTGTTAATAGCAATAAGTGTGTTCTTTAAAATAAATTACCATGAAACTAATGAGTAATTGTTTTGTTAGACAAAATACTCAATTTCAGGTTAAAAATATATTTTTCTACTCTATAACTAATATTATCAGCTTCAATTCACTATATTCATACTAGAAAATAAAAAATGAAAAACAAAATTGACAGAAACAAGAAACCTAACTAAGATTTTAACTGAAATTCAATTGATTGATTTTAGGTTAAAAATTAATAAGAAACTTGTTCTATGCAATTGCTTTCTCTTTTGAGTTACTGAATTCATAGAAATTGAAACATGAATTGGAAGAAAAGAAAAGTAAAATCATGCAATTTAACAACAAAATAGGTTGAGAAAAAAAAGTGAGAAATCTACCTCCTTATTTTGCTCCATGATAGAGTTTTGAAGATTTTTTTGAGAAAATTATGTAGGCACAAGTGTTTCAGCGTGTATGAAACTTCTTCTTCTTTATATATAAAGGGAAAATAAATTGCTTTAAAATTAATTTCATTCTTTAATTCATTAATTGAGAAAATATCGATTTTTTTACGCGCAATTGTCTACTGTACCGAATATCAATACATGCAATTATTATTTTTAGAATATTTTAGTAGTAATAAATAAAACTTATTTTTATTTAATGAGAGGAATTATTATTATTATTATTGGTTTAATGCAATATGCGTGTGTTGTGGTACCCGTCTCTATTCTTGGGTTTGGGTTTTGTAGCTGTCTTTACAGCACATTACATATTTCCACATTTGCCCCTCACACTGCCACGTCAGCTACTACTACCCTCCACATCTTTTATTTTGGTTCTTATCTTTAAGATACAAACTTTTTTTTTCTTTTTTCTTTTTTATAACAGATTTTATTACGCCCATAAATTCTACTATAAAATGAAAAATAATATTTAATAGTTTTGTAGGAAAGTAAAATATAAATTTAATAGAAATAATTAAAGATCAAAGTAACGATAAACTCGTGACTGGACAATGACAGATAAAAAAGATAGTACTCATGAAAAAGGCAATTCTTTTTGTAAAGAGAGAGACAACCTGTAAGGAACATTATAGAAACAAATAAATGATTTATTTATAAAAATAAAATAAAAAATCATTAAAAAAATGTATTACAGTATTTATTTTAAAAAAATAAACGTTTCAAATTTTAATAAAATGTTATTTAGATTTTTCATTAAAACATATAGATAATATTATTATTTTGATCATTTTGATCATTTTCAATTTATCCTATATATTTATCTACTATATACTTATGATAAATATATATATAATTGAATTTTTAATTTATTTTTTTAATATAAATTTACTATAATTAAATTTCTTAACTTGTATCATATCATAGACACGAGATTATTCATATTAAATAAAAATTATTTTGTCTTTCATTTATATATTATTTTTCTAAGCTTAAACATCTCTTTGTAAATATCACGAATTTAGATTTTAATTTCTATAAAGTTATTCTTTTATTCTCTACAAATATATACATTTTGTTTTGGTCTTTATACTTTGGATTTGGAACTTTCTTATTAATGATTTCGAAACTTTTAATTTTAATTCTATTTTCTGTAAGCGGATCACAAACAACCTAAATTCTTTCTCCAAAGCTTTTCATTTATGATGAATGGCATATTTGTTAGCTTCTTTAATTATAATTGATACGGCTACTTATTTATGTTTTTAAGATCTCCTTTATGTTGAACTTTTAGTTTATTTGTGGCAGTTACTGATTAGTTTAGAATTAATTTCATTTAATTGTGACATTTTATTCCTCCATTCAAGTTGTATGACTTGATATAAACTTTTATTTTACCAGATAAATTATTTTGGTTTTTTTGTGTTTGTAATTTTTTTTTAACCATAATTACTTTTAGTTTATTTGTGCCAGTTAGTTTTTATTTAGAACTAAGTTTAAAGTTTAACTTTTATTTTTCCATTTCTTAATTCAAAACTTTAAGCCGCCTTAATTTGGTCACCTCGGCCTTAAATTGGTTCAATAATTTTATCACGAGTCAATGATAATTATAGATTTTTAGAAAAATATCTTTATTAGAATTAATATTTTTAATATGTACTTTCATTTTAAAGTGAATCTTATTCGTTATAATTTTTGAATATTTTTACTCTTTTGCTCGTAATAAATAAGGGTGACAATTTGGCTCATAGATACATCTGCAGCTCAAAAATAAGAATAGATGTTTCACTTTCACGAAGGAACCAGAAATGATGAGAGGTGAATAACAGTTGATTTTAAATTGTGGCTCTAATCTCCTTTACGGCAGTGTAGGGTGGATATGCAAGATTGACACTCAAACGACAAAGTCAATTCAAAATTTAAGATGAATAAGTGAAAATGGAGATAAGAGATTTTGTACCTTCTCATAATTTGCGGACTGATTTTATATTCTAGATCGAGTAGAGTGGACATGGATTGAGTCTTTGACCATTGGGCCTTTGGCCGGTAAATATTAGTTTCCCCAAGACTTTTTTTCAGATATTGAAGAGTCGGGTAAGGCTTAAGTATCATTGACCGTCCTCTGTGTCGCAGTCTGGTGTGAAGTGCAACTGAATTTCTTGGGATCCGTTTTTTAAAAGTAACGGGGTAACATGCGCATTTAATGCAGTTTCATCACTGAGACGCTTCGTTGTCCATTTCTGAAACGTGCGATGACGTGAGCGGTTGGGGTGCGGCACCTTTTACAGAGTGTTGGAGTGCACTTGAGTGAGTGTGTATCTGTGAGTGGAAGTTTAGTCATTGGTATCTTTACTTATGTGCATAGTTGGTCTTGATCTTTCAGTTGCATTTGCCTATAAATAAGGGTTAGTTAAATGTTTTGAACCTTTTGCAACATTTCCCTTTCAAGCCTTCAATTACTTTTCCCAAAGAAACATCTTCATTCCTTCTTCCCCGAGTGTATTATTATAAGTGATTCAAAGTTTCTCTTAAAGTTTTCCACTGTTTTCTTCTTTCTTTTATCAATCTCTTCCACCGAGGTACCCTTCTAAGTCCAATTTCTCCTTTAGCATTTTATGCTCTATCTAAGATGAGCGATGATAATATCGACTTAGGTAGTGATTCTGGAGCAGAAACTTCATTTGGGTCATTCCATGATTCTCATATTTCTTCCTTTAATAATGGTCACATAGGACCTTAAATTATATTCATATCTAACGATTTTGGGTCATAAGGGATGTCTGATACTTCCTTGGAGGAAGAAGCTTCTTCTTTTAGGTCGTTGGACGCCTTTATAACAAATCTAGGCAAAGGAATAAATTATGATGAGGTCCCAATGACCCATCCCTTTCTTTTAGAAGAGAAGGTACAAGCCAAATTGCTAAGGAGGGAATGTATTAAAAACTATTAAAGTTCTTCTAATGATTCAAGGTCATGAACCTAACGACACAGAGGTGTTAAAACTCTTGTCTTTGGCCTTGCAGGATATGTCGATGTATGAATGGGTGGATGTAAGTTTAGTGGTGTCACACCCTCGTTTTCACCCTAACTCCTCACTCATACATTCATCATATCATACATGGTGCATACCAAGCATGTGGGTTCGCAAGGGAATTTTTACTTTGAAACAAGTGTTTGAAGTTGATTCAGTGGCTAAGGAAAACTATATCTCCACCCCGGTTTCTTTATGGTTCTTGGCACTTGTAATTGAGAATTTTTGTTTTTTTTTTTTTAATTTTGGGTTAGATTTTTATTACTCATCAAAAAAAAATTATTATGCTATTATCATACAAAATTCAGCATTATCATTATAAAAATTTAGCATTCACATCCAATAAAATTCAGCATTTGTTATTATAAAAAATTCAGCATTTTGTTATTATAAAAAAAGTTCTGCATTGTTATTGTAAAAATAATTTTGCATTACCATTAATAAAATTCATACATTTATTTATACAAGAATGAACAAAGGAATTTTAGTCCATGAATTACTACAAAGAACCCAAAAACAATCCAAAGCCCATTGTCTATTACCAACACAAATGGTAAGAAAGTACAGATCCTGCACCATGAAAATAATCTCATCAAGACCACACATTTTCCAAGTACTACACATTTCAAGTACTACACAAGCAAGTCATGAGAATTTCCAAGGGCCTTACCAAACCAGGCCTCATTACCTTAAAATCTGTTATAACCTGTGCATCACATGTAAATAAGGACAATGTGTCACAAATTAGCCACAAAAAAAAACTAATACAACCGTACTTGCAGAGCCATAAAACCATTGCAGGAAACCTGTCACTACAAACTTATACTTTATTTCAAAATGCCAAAATCTGCATCATAACATGCTTCACGCTTCACCGTACAACACTTATCACTCCAAAACCGCTGCAGCATAGCCAAACGACATTTGCTCCAAAACAAAATATCCTGAACCAATCCTACAAAACAAGAAGGCATCAAATAAGAGAAATGAAATCATGCTCCAAGCAATTCACCATTTATGCCACACAATTTACATCATTCTATTACAATTAAACCAAATTCATCCATGATCATATCATAATAAAAAAATTTCAAGTTATTTCATAATTCAAGCTACAAGTCAAAATTCACCACAATTTAAAATTGCACTGAGCATTTTATTACAATAAATTCACACACAAGATTCCAAATGGACAAAAGACAGAAGGTACATAAGAAATTTGCAAAAAAAGAGAGTGACAAGTTGCTGCAGTAGTAAAGTTACAACAGAAGTTTCACCAAATAAGAAAGGTCAAAGCATCTTGCTGAATACACCGGTGTATTGCACAAAAATAGGGAGTAACAGCAAAGAACAGAGTTTAGCAGCAGGATTCTGCATATTTCTAGTTCCATCAGTTATCAGAACCTTTAGTTTTTTTTTTACTTTTTTGCAAATCCCGTTATAAAACTGTGTTTTTATCATCAACGGAGGGAGGAATTTTTTTTTTGGAGTGATCCATCAAGAAAACTAGGAAACCAAGGCAACCGGGGTTTAAAGAGAAAAACATCAAGAACCGTAAAGAAAACCCAGGCGGCCAGAATTCAAACTGTAGAAATACAAAAGTGAAGCTCATACATGTAGTTTGTTTCGAAGCAGATCCTGTTGTGGTAGTATTTCTTTCCCAGACTTTTACTTTCTTCCACCTCTGTTTCCAATTTTTATTTTCATTAGTAGATAGTTTGATCTTTGATTTACTGGCCATTTTTTATTTCTGCTTTATCATCTTTGAATCGTTTCACTACCACCATAAGTTTTGCCGTTGTACATTCATGTTTATTGCTTTGGTCGTGAGATTAAGAGAATGATTCCTAGAGCTAGAGGTTGTAATATAAAGGAGGCTTGAATGATAGAGCAAATCTGGCACATGACCTTTTTCTTCTAC